TAACGAACGAGACCTTAACCTGCTTAATAGCCAGGCCGGCTTTTGCTGGCCGCCGGCTTCTTAGAGGGACTGTCAGCGTCTAGCTGACGGAAGTTTGAGGCAATAACAGGTCTGTGATGCCCTTAGATGTTCTGGGCCGCACGCGCGCTACACTGACAGAGCCAGCGAGTTTTTTTCCTTGGCCGGAAGGTCTGGGTAATCTTGTGAAACTCTGTCGTGCTGGGGATAGAGCATTGCAATTATTGCTCTTCAACGAGGAATACCTAGTAAGCGTGAGTCATCAGCTCGCGTTGATTACGTCCCTGCCCTTTGTACACACCGCCCGTCGCTACTACCGATTGAATGGCTTAGTGAGGTCTTGGGATTGGCTTCGGGGAGCCGGCAACGGCACCTTGTTGCTGAAAACTTGATCAAACTTGGTCATTTAGAGGAAGTAAAAGTCGTAACAAGGTTTCCGTAGGTGAACCTGCGGAAGGATCATTAATGAATTTTGAAAGGGGTTGTTGCTGGCCTTTTCGTTTGAGAGGCATTTCGTGCACGCCCTGATCATTCTCCATTTCATACACCTGTGCACACACTGTAGGTCGGTTTGCGAGGCGGAGCCTTCATTGGCGTAGCTTTGTGGGCCTTCCTATGTTTTATCACAAACTACTGTTTAAAGAATGTCTACTGCGTGTAACGCATTTAAATACAACTTTCAGCAACGGATCTCTTGGCTCTCGCATCGATGAAGAACGCAGCGAAATGCGATAAGTAATGTGAATTGCAGAATTCAGTGAATCATCGAATCTTTGAACGCACCTTGCGCTCCTTGGTATTCCGAGGAGCATGCCTGTTTGAGTGTCATGGAATTCTCAACTCCATTCGCTTTTGTGAATGGAGCTTGGACTTGGAGGTTATTGCCGGACTTTATTGTTTCGGCTCCTCTTGAATGCATTAGCTCGAGCCTTTGTGGATCAGCTTCGGTGTGATAATTGTCTACGCCGTTCTGTGAAGCATACATAATGGGTTTCGGCTTCCAATCGTCCTTTGCGGGACAATACACTATGACCTTTGACCTCAAATCAGGTAGGGTTACCCGCTGAACTTAAGCATATCAATAAGCGGAGGAAAAGAAACTAACAAGGATTCCCCTAGTAACTGCGAGTGAAGCGGGAAAAGCTCAAATTTAAAATCTGGCGGTCTATGGCCGTCCGAGTTGTAGTCTGGAGAAGTGCTTTCCGCGCTGGACCGTGTACAAGTCTCTTGGAACAGAGCGTCATAGAGGGTGAGAATCCCGTCTTTGACACGGACTACCAGTGCTTTGTGATGCGCTCTCAAAGAGTCGAGTTGTTTGGGAATGCAGCTCAAAATGGGTGGTAAATTCCATCTAAAGCTAAATATTGGCGAGAGACCGATAGCGAACAAGTACCGTGAGGGAAAGATGAAAAGCACTTTGGAAAGAGAGTTAAACAGTACGTGAAATTGCTGAAAGGGAAACGCTTGAAGTCAGTCGCGTTGGCCAGGACTCAGCCTTGCTTTTGCTTGGTGCATTTTCTGGTTGACGGGCCAGCATCGATTTTGATCGCCGGAAAAAGGCTGGGGGAATGTGGCACCTTCGGGTGTGTTATAGCCTTCAGTCACATACGGCGGTTGGGATCGAGGACCGCAGCACGCCTTTATGGCCGGGGTTCGCCCACGTTCGTGCTTAGGATGCTGGCGTAATGGCTTTAAACGACCCGTCTTGAAACACGGACCAAGGAGTCTAACATGCCTGCGAGTGTTTGGGTGGTAAACCCGAGCGCGTAATGAAAGTGAAAGTTGAGATCCTTATCATGAGGAGCATCGACGCCCGGACCTGAACTTCGGTGATGGATCTGCGGTAGAGCATGTATGTTGGGACCCGAAAGATGGTGAACTATGCCTGAATAGGGTGAAGCCAGAGGAAACTCTGGTGGAGGCTCGTAGCGATTCTGACGTGCAAATCGATCGTCAAATTTGGGTATAGGGGCGAAAGACTAATCGAACCATCTAGTAGCTGGTACTTAGACTTACCGTTCATCACTTAGACATACATCATGGTTCGTGTGCTGTCCTACTCGTAAGTCTTAGGTCTCACTCAATGAGACTTAGTGTCGCTTACTTAGACTTAGTGTCATCCACTTGGACTTACTACTCATCGCTCAGACTCGTGTTGTAGTTGGTGCCATCACTTACTAGTAACCATTTAGTCTCGCGGACAAAGATTTAGTGTCGCTCACTTAGATTTAGTGTCGTTCGCTTAGACTTAGTGTCGTCCACTTGGACTTACTACTCATTACTCAGATTGTGTCGTAGTTGCTGCTATTAAGCCTCAAGTCTCGCCGACATAGACTTAGTAATGCTCCCTTAGACTTAATGTTGTTCGCTTAGACTTAGACTCGTCCACTTGGACTTAGTATTCATCTCTCAGATTCGTGTTGTAGCTTCTCCTAGTAAGCCTCAATTCTCACTGACATAGATTCAGTGTTGCTCACTTAGACCAAGTCTCGTCCACTTAGGCTTACTATTTGTCACTGAGGCTAGTGTCGTAGTCTGTGCCATCACTTACACTGACTCACGTGACCTACTCTGATATGTTATAAACTGTAGTCGATGACTGTATGCTACTCGAGCAATCTCCAGCCTGCAGTCATGGAGCCTTGTGATTATCTGTACTACTGGCTTCAATGACCATCACATCGCTCACTATTCATCGCGATTGAACCGGCTCAGTCATCTATGGCATCAATCGCGATAACACACCTACATCGTATCTGCTTCACCGGTGTTCAATTGCTGCTCCCACAATCGCTCAGTGTTATCATTGCTCTTTACTGCCCTTATACTTTGCTGGAAACATGGACTCGAGTGACGATAATACAGGAGCCGATTCGCACCCTCAGGGACAACAGCTCCTCATGGAATTCCGGTCACAATACCACCAGTACGTACGGAATGTTGAAGACATCACAACAACCTCAACAGATCCAATCGTCATATCTTGCCTCAGTGATGACCTGCTGCAGTTCAGTCAGCTTGTTTGAGCAGGTGAGTGTCTAGGTGTCGATACCTATTCATTGCTCTGAAGCAGCCTATTTTCAAAGCATACAGGTGTATTTGATGCCTCAGAGCTCACGATCATGCGGGAAAGTGTCACTCTTCTTCGACACGATGTTCACCTTCTATATAACAATAGCCTCGACCAATCCCATCATGGACGGCCTGTCATATTGACCAAGGTCCACAGTGGTGGTCGTGGCCGTCCGAGGATCGTCATTGACCCGACTTGGCTACGCTGGGCCTATGGTCACAAATCAATCGCGGAAATTGCTCGTTTCTTGAATGTACACTGTTCTACTGTTTGTGCCGCCCTCCTTGAGTATGGCATCACCGAGGCCCGGTCAAATCCATTCTCTCGCCCGGGAGACAGCCAGTTTGACGGTGACCTGGACGATGGCAGCCAACGTGATGATGACAGGCCTGCTAATGCCAGAAATGAAGATGGCGACGAGGACGAGGACGATGGCAGCCGTTCCAAGTCGCCCGAGCACGCGGGGGAGAACATGTATGTACCCGAGACCACTCACATGTGGGCTCGACAACTGATTTGGATCCCCATTGTGTCAGGGAGTCTCAGGCTGGGGATGATGTGCCTCAAGTCACATCCTATACCCACCCTCTCACCGACATCAGTGATGATGATCTCGACGATGCTGTCCGCAATCTGCGCAGCCATTACCACCGTGCAGGGATCACCATGATGCTTGGCCTGTTGCGGGGAAATCTTGGCATTCGTGTATCAAGAGAGAGGGTCAGGCAGTCACTGCTTCGAATCAACCCAGTCCGACGTGTGTTTGATTGCATCCGGATTGAGTGCCGCAAATATCAAGTTGCTGGGCCAAATGCTCTCTGGCACCATGATGGTCAACATGGTGTGTCGAGCTGTTGTAGTATGGTCAGTGCTCATGACTTACTCACGAGCATTGTTGCACAGGAATAATTCGCTGGCGTATTGTCATCCATGGGTTCATTGATGGCTACTCACAATTGATTGTTGGCCTACATGCGAGCAACAACAACCGTGGTTCAACTGTCCTTGATCTGTTCCTGAATGCATGCGGAGTCTATGGCGTGCCGTCACGGCTTCGTGGAGATCATGGCACAGAAAACATCGAGACCACATGCTGGATGTACAACAACATGGGTGCCAGACAAGGCTCATACATATGGGGACGGTAAGCCATACAGTTCAGACCCTATAACCATCTGAAACTTCATACAGGAGTGTTCATAATGTTTGAATCAAGCGGCTCTGGGTTGACGTCACAGCACAAGTAACGTCTAAATGGGCCACGTTCTTCACCGACCTCGAGCTGCAACATGTGCTGAACATCAACAATATGGACCACATCCACCTCCTACACTTTCTCTTCCTTCCCATGATCAATGCTGAGGTTGTAGGCTTTGCCTCGGGCTGGAACCACCACACAATTTCTGGGATCAACCGGACACCTTCCGACCTGTTCGGATGGGATATGTATGTCCATGGTGTTCGTGGTGGCCAACTCGCTTCGGACAGCGAGCGACCACTGTCAGAACAAGAGCTCGAGGATTATGGAGTCGATTTTGAGGGCCTTGCAGACAATGCCCTACTGGAGTCACACGAGGCAAACAATCCTGAGGTGGAGGATGTGTCATCCTTCCTCGGTCGCATACCACCTCCCAATCGCCTCAACACAATCACTGTCGATACTGATGACCTGGACTGGCCGAGAGAGACGATACAGGTTATACAGCAGTTGAGGGACAGAGTGCATGGCCAGGCTGATGACGGGACTCTGATAGGACTATGGACTGCATCGCTCGTTCTCATGTCTACATACTTTGTAAATGGTAGCTTTTAGCTGAGAATTCGATATGCTTGATACGATCACACAGTATCATACAGTGGTTTATGAGTTCATGCAAGCAACTAGACCATGGTATGCTACTGAAGATGACTAGTTACACCCTTCTCTGAGATACTCATCGCCATTAGAGCTGTTCACCTTGACCACTTCAAGCAGGTCGGTATCCACGTCAGCGTCAGCATCGGCATCATCAAAGTATTCGGTGCGCAAGTAGCCACTACGTCGTTGTCGCCAAGTTGAAGAGGAAGCGGCGACATGGGGGGCAGAGCGCCTGCAACGGACAACCGCGCCTCCTGGGATCTTGAATTTCTGAGGCTTGGGCTCAGACTCGCTGCTGGCGTAGGACAGCTCAACGCAAACGAATGTACTGGTGATGGATAACCCCTGGTAGATGTGCGAAACCTGAGGAAAGAGGCAAGGCAAGGCGAGACAAGATGACGAACGTGGTACTGATGACGACAGCCTGGACACCGCCGCCGAGGATGGGGTCCGTGATGATGGGCAGAGCTCGTTTGTGGTCATGTTTGCGAGGAGAAGTGTGACGAGGAGGTGCCCGTTCTTGCGCATCAGCTTTATCTTGTTGGCGTACTCCTTCTGCTTCCTGCGGTGGCAGTCAGCGGCTGCATGGACAAAGGATACAAGGAGCTCACAAAGTAGCACCTGAATCAGATGCAAGGCACACGGAGGGGACCGAGGGCTCGCACCTCACTGTCGGCTCAAGGGATTGTGGCGGGACTGACACATTGTGTTGACTGCCAAGGCTCAAGTCGGAACGTTGGCGCGCGACAGTGGAGGTGCACTTGAAAGCTGTGCACTCATGCGATGCAGCAGTTCCCACGGGCGTCCGAACACACAGCGCATCTCGCAAATGCTGGTGGGTCGGTAGTTGCGGTGTATGAGGGCGTGAGCGACGGGCGTGGTGCAGTAGTGGGTCTCGAAAAAATGAGCCGTACCGTGCTGTACACTATGTAACCACCATGCCAGCCTCCATCACACTGAGTGCCTCGTTCTCCATGCAGATATCGCGTATCTTCACGAGCAGTGTGTTGCCCACCTTCTCCTTGCCTGTCTCACCGTCAGCGGTGGGGTTCGCGGGTGGCGGAGCGGACCAGTCGAGGAGGGTGCGGATGAACATTGGGCTGTTCTTGGCACGCATGACTCGGCATGAGGCTCTCGCCAACAAGAACAGCGCCAATGCCCTGGCCGAGCTACGTGCGGATGCCCTTGAGGTCGGCAATCCCACAAAGCACACAGGGCATGACGTCTGCGCCGGCAACTATGCCCGTGAGGCGGCTCGTTATGCCCATGCCGACATTGAGGTTGTGCAGGTTGCATCTCCGCAGCGTTGTTCACCTCCACGAGGGCTCTGTCAGGCAGACAGTCAGGTGGACAGACATGACCCAGGCGAGCAGTCGTGGACGTACCGGCATTGCGTCGCAATCCCACCCAGCCCGCACGTACGACGTCTGGTAGGTGGGGATGGGCATCAGCATCCTGAGGTGACGACATCGGCACAAGATGGATGCACCTGCAGCATGGCGAGGTTGTCCACAATGTTGGACCGTGAAGGTGCCAACCTGGGGTGGCGAGCAGCGAGCGTGGAGAGGAGGCGAGAGCGAGCGTGGAGAGGAGGTGAGAGCGAGGAGGGAGAAGCGAAGGGTTGCTGGACATCGGGTGTGGGTTGCGCTGGGTACGGTGTGGCGTGACAAGGGGTGGACAGTGGTGTGGAGATGCACATGCAGTCAAAAATAAGTGAGAGTGCGCTGACTAATAAACAATGGAGACGCGCGTGGTTGGCGCCGGATGTACACTGTGCACAGAGACAGACGGGGGCGAGTAAAGGGCGGGATGCGTGTCACTGTCGTGCACTGACATAGGCGTCGGATGGCGGTTGACGATGCAATGTACAGACGACGGACACGAGATATGACGCAGGTGCGCGTTGACAAATCTTGCAGGAACTGGTGGATCGACTGCCCAGCACTGGTTGCGGTCCGCTGAAGACAGCGCACTCGACGAGTGCACGCCTGCACAAGTACTGTTCTTGGCATACGATTGTCATCCGAGTTCCGAGTGCTGTCAGCGCATTGCGCCGATTGTAGATTCATTTGAGATGGATGAGGCAACATTGAGCGCAATTTACTCACCGCATGGTCATGCATCCGTGCTGTTTGTGTGGTGCAAAGTATGTTGTAATGGGTTTCTCCCTCGACATTGGCATTGTTGTCGTCTGTGTTGAACAAGGAGTGAAAAGGGAGTGGCTAGTGTGAAGGCAACACTTAACAGACTACAAGACCAGTTAAGGACAGCAGTCAATGGAGGGCTTGCAAGGTCTCAAGAGACTGAGAGGGAAGACTCAGCAGGCGTAAGACAAGAGGAGAGACCGATGCATTACAAGGGCATCCAGCCCAGTATATATACACATGAGAGAGTCATCACATGATCGTACAGTAAGCGTAAGTAAGCGTTATGTGTAAGCCTGTAGCAGGATGAGTAAGGCGTACACACGTCGTGTCATGATGATGCAATATAGTGCAATGAGCAAATACATCAGGATGATGCGATATGGCACTATAGATAGAACGTGCTGGAAGGCACTGGAAAGGACTGGACAGGCCTAGATCAATGATGTGATCAATGATGCGAAGTGATGTGATCAAGGAATGTGATGGAACATCAAGGAATGATCTGGAATATGATGGAACCATGTGGAATGTTCCATACAGGTCTAGAACAAGTCATGTGCTACAGGTCTGGATCAAGTCCATCAAGAATGTACGTAATATGTAGCAATGAAGAACCTAAGTCCATAACGGGTAAGGATAAGTCCTATCTGTTACGCGAAGCGTGACACCTAGAGCACTAGCTCTCAACCTAACCCTAAACGTAGGGACCTTAGGTTCTAATCGTCCTTGGATGGGGAGGATGGTCGAAGACGCTGCTAAGTCCGTCTAGCAGGTCGAGCGGGGAGTTTCTGATATCCAAGGAGCTGGTGAAGCTTCAATAGATAACCAGGTCGAACTGAGGTTCGACCGCTACTGTACACTGGTCTTATATACATGGGGAGTTCAGGGCAGGTCCTGGACGAGTCACAACTACCTAGCCAATAGGAGCGCGGGGGAGTGAGTCATGACGAGTCAGGGACCGAGTCATAAACGATGAGTCAGGTATGAGTAAGAGACGAGTCACGACGAGTCATACTGAGTCAGAGATCACGTGAACTGCCCCGGGTTGGACCGGAGCGAACAGCGAAGGAGTCCGAAGACTAGAAGCGTAGCGTCATGGGGTTGGGCCCATGCTAAGGTAGTACAACGGTCAAGCGCAAAATAAAGGAAAACAAACGTTGACGTAACACTATCCCGTGTGATAACACCTGAAATAGTCGAAGTTCAACAGTCTGACCGTGAGTTGCCAGTGCCGTCCCTCGTCCACGAGCCATCAGAGCCTCGTCGCAATCCTCTGGCGGGAGCCCAATGAGTGTACTTTTACGTTCCTAACGGTACACCCGGGCTGCATATTCCCCGTCGTCAACGGAAACCCGACGTCGGCCGGTGGAACGGAAGTGAGCGCCGGAAGCCGGGTGGGCGGGCATGCTGGCCTGTGGTTCCTATTGCGGCGGCCGATTGTCGGATCATATGTTGTAAAGCGAGCCGGCCGGATGTGAATTGTAGAAACCCAGCATATACTAGCAGGCGCAAATATAAAACATTGTAGTGTACAACCCGGCGCGGCCGGAGAGCGTACTGTATTTCACTAGCATTACGGCCGAATACGTACCGCCCGTCAACATTGATACCGCCGGTGTATTATTCCACTGCGTACTTTATGACATCAACCGGACGCTTCGTTTGCAGCACGCTATTCACACAGCGGCCGCCCTTGAGGCGTAGCGTTGTGGCCTAGGCGGCCGGCGGCTGTGCATCGTTTTGTCACACCTTCGACCAATTGTACATGTCAACATCTTTTGCAGATTGGCCTGCAAAAGAAAGCATTGCAGTGCCCGTGTCGGCCGCTGTTAATGCTCGCCACGGCTAACACAGCGGCCGGAGTTGAATTTGTTTATCAAACATTCACCGGCCGGTTTCTCTGACGACATTGATAGTGATACATTCAACTCTGTATAAGACAATTGCAGCGGAGCGGTCGCTATCACATTCCATATAGTTTAAAGAACCGGCCGCCATGTGCCTCAGCCTGTAGCTTCCCAACCGGCCGATCGAAACCCGGTCTTTCAATACAGCTCAGCCGGTACCCGTTGTACCCCACTAAATCCATCCGGCCGAATGTATATTGCAGCTTTGGAAACGATACAATCAAATGTGTTTTTCAAGGCTCTGGCACGACCGGCCGGGCCGTAGCCCCACTTATCCACAACGCTGCGGCCGGTCCCACTACACATGACTGAAATGGAACCGGCCGGTGACGTTAGATCTCATAGGAATAGGACCGGCTGGTGCTTACTTCTTGTTGTTCTTGATGGCACGGCCAACGCCTAGCCCACTGATGAAGCCTATTTGGCAGTTGTCTTTGATTCGTTCAAATGAAGGAAAATAGAGCTGCTTCACCCTGTGCAAGTGGTACTGCACTATCATGGCAGTAATGTCATGTAATGCATATGCTAATGTGCTGCTCCCATTGAAGCCATAAAATTAGGCCCTAACCATAACCATCAGCTAGAGAACACATGGCTGCCTGCAGGTATCCTCATGGTGTCCACATGTTCATGTTTGATCGTGTTAGTGGAACTGTACAGTTCTACATGAGGCTCCCAGAACTGAGAATGACTGTACACGGCGACACCTTTCACAGCAACCATCATGTCCAATTTTGATGAGGTCAACGACTATGTCAGCTGCACCTATCACTACCACGTCAATGCTAGGCAGGATATGAACTCAATGCCGCCGCTTATCAATCCCCGCATCCCGCGGGCGCTGTCACATCAAGCGAGAGTTGCTGGAAAAAGATTGGCAGAGGCCCGGTGTAACCAGAGTGGGCCAATCACCAATTCACTTTTGTTAATCATGTTTGCTCATTGTTGACAAGTCGTGGCTCCCTGGGACGCGACGTGCCCGCCGGTTCGTGTGGAAGACTGGAGCACTCCCATGAGAATTCAAACCGCGCCGGTGATTGTAGTGGACAGTGCCGGCCGTATAATTCTCTGGTACCTACCCAATGTGCTGAGCACTGAATACGAGGTAATATGTTGTGGTCATTGAATGACTCAAGACTGATGGTCTCACCCAGGACCTCATGTGGAACGAGACGGCGGGCATAAATAATCTGTTCCGGGCCAATCCCCCAAATCCTAGGCCGGGAACGTCGTGGAGAAACCAGGCCCGGAACTTTCTACCACAACAGCCTGATCACAGTCTGCATCCGGGGTGTATCTCCATGTCGCCGGGATGGTTTCAGCGGGGACAGACGGTATGCATGCTGCATTGTATGATCCCCACGATGTGCTGAACATACTGCAGGGTGGGGGCAGGATGCCGGAGGTGTTGATGACGCTCAAATCAGCTCAGTCGACAGGGCACCAGTGGCTCCGCTCGCTGTGTGAACCGCACCTGGTCATCTCCGCTATGACACAGATCATGAATCCCGTCCTCTATCAAAGCGGCTTCTTATCAACGTACAAGCTCCATGCGATCGGCGACT